TGACCCCATACCTTAGGTACATCAGCTCCAAGATGACAGTGGGCGAAGGATGCAGTTGGGGGCCAGGCTGGGGGGCAGGCCATCATTCAGATCTTCCACCAACGGGGAAGATTTTATCACCAACACTGTTTAGAACTGCCAGCACATGTTGATAAAAAAAGGCAGACCAACTACTCGCTGTTTTTTTTTTTATAGTTTTAAAGTTTATTTTTTATTTATTTTTTAAATTTTTTTTAACATCTTTATTGGGGTATAATTGCTTTACAATGGTGTGTTAGTTTCTGCTTTATAACAAAGTGAATCAGTTGTACATATACATATGTTCCCATATCTCTTCCCTCTTTGTCTCCCTCCCTCCCACCCTCCCTATCCCACCCCTCTAGGCGGTCACAAAGCACCGAGCCGATATCCCTGTGCCATGCGGCTGCTTCCCACTAGCTATCTACCTTACATTTGTTAGTGTATATATGTCCATGCCTCTCTCTCACCCTGTCACAGCTCACCCTTCCCCCTCCCCATATCCTCAAGTCCGTTCTCCAGTAGGTCTGTGTCTTTATTCCTGTCTTACCCCTAGGTTCTTCACGACATTTTTTTACTGCTGGTTTTATTATTTTTTGAACCTCCATCAGTCTCGGGGTGGGGGGGAGGATGGTGGAAGCCTGCGGCCCCCTCCACCAGTCTACTCCTCCTGCGTTGAGGACAGACAGGCACCCATTTTATATTGCATTGTTGGTTTCCTTATCATTGAATTTGGAAAGTTCTTTATAGATTCTGATCACAAGTTCCTTAGCAGGTGCATGATTTACAGATATTTCCCCCCAATCTCTGACTTATCTTTTCACTCCTTACCAGGGTCTTTCAAAGAGCAGAAGTTTTAAAGTTTGATGAAATCCAATTTATTCATTTTTTTTCTCTTATGGGTCACGGTTTCAGTGTTGTATCTAAGAATTTTTTGCCTTACCTAAGGTCACAGAGATTTTTATTGAATAAAAATGTGTTTTCTTTTAAAAGTTTTATTGTTTTAGGTTTTACATTGAGGTTGACAGTCCATTTTAGGTGAACTTTGTATGTTGTGAAAGGTGTGGACGGGAGCACCTTGTTTGCCTGGGGACACCCAGTTGATCCAGCACCATTTGCTGAGAATCAGTCCTGCATATGTGGGCAGGGAGAGGATGCTAGGCGGGTGGGGCTTGTTTCTCAGTCCTGCAGGGTCTTTGTCCCCATCATCTTCTCACTTGCGTTGCTGCGTTGCTCCCAAAAAGAATTCTGCGCCTTCCTTACCTCGGTTCCTCTGTACGTCACATGTCTTTTTTCCTTTGGTGGCTTTTACAGTTTTCTCTTTACCACTGGCTTTGAGAAAACTGATCCTGGTGTACCTTGTAATTTCTTCATATTTCTTATCATTCATCAGGCTTCTTGGATCTGTGAGTTTATAGTTCTCACCAAGTTTGAAAATTTTCTATCATTTTTTCAAGTTTTTTTCATTCCCCCATTCCTTCTGGGACCCTAACCACACATACATTAGGTCACTTGAAGTTGTCCTACAGCTCCCCAATGCTCTGTTCTATTATTTCCTCACCACTGTCACCACCACCTTCACCATCATCATCACCATCGTTACCATCGTCATTATCACCTCATCATCACCACATCATCATAATTACCATCATCATCATCACCATCATCATTACCATCATCACCATCATCACCACCATCATCATCATCACCATCACCATCACCACCATCATCATCATCACCATCATCATCGCCATCATCACCATCACCATCATCACCATCATTACCATCACCATCACCATCACTATCACCATCATCACCATCACCATCACCATCACCATCATCACCATCATCACCATCACCATCATCACCACCACCATAATCACCACCATCATCATCATTACCATCACCATCATCATCACCATCACCACCATCACCATCATCACCATCACCATCATCACCACCACCATCACCATCACCATCATCACCATCACCATCACCATCACCACCATCATCACCATCATCACCATCATCACCATCATCATCGTCATCATCATCATCATCATCATCGCCATCATCATCATCACCATCATCGCCATCATTACCATCACCATCACCATCACTATCACCATCATCACCATCACCATCACCATCACCATCATCACCATCATCACCATCACCATCATCACCACCACCATAATCACCACCATCATCATCATTACCATCACCACCATCATCATCACCATCATCACCATCACCATCACCACCATCATCATCACCATCATCACCATCATCATCGTCATCATCATCATCATCGCCATCATCATCACCATCATCACCATCACCATCATCACCATCATCATCGTCATCATCATCATCATCATCATCGCCATCATCATCATCACCATCATCGCCATCATCATCATCACCATCATCATCATCACCATCATCACCATCACCATCATCACCATCACCATCGTCATCATCATCATCATCACCATCACCATCATCACCACCACCATCACCATCACCATCATCACCATCACCATCACCATCACCACCATCATCATCACCATCATCACCATCACCATCACCACCATCATCATCACCATCATCACCATCATCATCGTCATCATCATCATCGCCATCATCATCACCATCATCACCATCACCATCATCACCATCATCATCGTCATCATCATCATCATCATCGCCATCATTACTATCATTGTCATCGTCACCATCATCATCAACACACCTTCACCATCGCCACAATCCCTCTCCATCTACTTTTGGATGCTTTCTCTTGCTATGTCAAGTTCTCCAGTGTTTTTTTTTCCAATGGCTAATCTGTTATTAAACCAGCTGTTGTATTTTTCATCTCAGGCACTGTAGTTTTCATCCCTAAAAGTTGGATTTGGGTTTTTTTTTTTTTAATACCTTTCATGTCTACAATTAACGTTTTGGACGCGTGGAATCAGTTATAGTAACTATTTTAATGTTCTTGTCTACTAATTCTAATATCTCTGTCAGTTTTATTTGATTTTTCTCCTCATTCTGGGTTATGTTTTCCTGATTCTTTGCATGGCTTGTAATTTTCTATTATATGGTAGACATGGTGATTTTTACCTGTTGTGTGCCGGATATATACTTTTATCCATACAAATATTCTTGAGCCGTTTCTGAAATACAGTTAAGTTACTTAGAAACAGGTTAACCTTTTGGGGGTCTTTCTTTCAAGATTTGTTAGGCAAGGCCAGAGCAGTGCTCCATCTAAGGCTAGTTATTCTCCTACAGAAGCAAGACTCTTGCATACAGTGTACCCGGGGCCCCGTGAATCACGAAGTCCCCAGTCTGGCTGGGAATGGGGATAGTCCTGGCCCCGGGTGCGGACAGGACGCTGTCCCCGCAAACCCCTTGGGCTTCTCCTCTTCCTGCAGCCCCTCGCGTCCACGTGCTCATCCATTCTCTGCCGAACACGCATTCCCCTGCTCTCTCTGTATCATCCCTCCTCTTGCACTCATACTGAAAACTCTGGCCACTTCTGTCTGCCCCATTTCTCCACTTCAGGAGGGTGTCAGGAGTCCCAAATACCCCCTCCCTCTGCCACTGCCTGGAAACGCTCTCAAGACAGCAGGGCACTTGTTGGGCTCCCCAGTTTGTCCCCATCCCTCGGGCATCGCCGTCCTATGCTTCCTCACGTCCGGTGTCTTGAGACTGTATTTTGTCTGGTTTCCAGGCTGCTTCAGGCTTGAGGGAAAATCTGATCCCTGTGACTCCATCTTGGCCACAGCGGGATCCACAGCCCTGGGTTTCTTTCCCAGGAACATTTCAGACCTCGTAGTTCCTGCTGCCTCTTTGAGTTGTTTCTGATATGGTCCAGTTGGGGCTCTGTTGAGCGACGGGCCAGCATGTCCGTCCGTGTCTCAGCCGTGGTGCCTCTGCCCCCGCTTCTCCAAGGTCTCAGTGGTCAGCCACCGTGGTCCGTGGGGATGCCTCATTCCTGCTCCACTTTCTCTGCAGCGAGGAAGCCTTTGGTGCACCCTCGGCCTCTGCTTCCCCCCCATCAGGTGCATTCAACAGTTCCACCTGGTCCCACCCGTGCCCCCTCTCCTCCCAGCATTTTCATCCTTTACTTCCCCTTGACTGTAAGCCCAAGAAGCTGGTCTTCCTGATATGCTTCCGGCGTTCGCCTGGAGCCCAGGCCCCCTGGAGGCACCACTGAGCACACACACCTCCCCTTCCTGGGCGCACTGTCCCGCCCGGGGTTACTCCCCAGTCTGACACGTCACCAGGCATGAATGCCACAGCCCTGAGTGCAGCAGAGAACCTGGGCTGCCAACTCCATGGGGCGCGGGGCCCCCTGGGGTGTGGTGGCTCCCGTGGAACCAACCCCCCTCCCCGAACTTGAAGCGTCCGCCTGCAAATCTGGCAGAGCCAAGGCCGAAAATAGTGCTCAGCCTCAGTGCCTGAACATGAGAGCCCAGCTCCCTGCACAGCACTTGGTCCGGCCGCAGTTTCTGGTGCCCTAACTGAGGCCGTCGGGGCCAAGCCCACCTGGGCCAGTGCAGCCGCCTGCCAGCGGTCAGGGCCTTAGGCGGCAGTGCCCTTGAGGTCAGGCCCCACGTGCCCCCAGCACACCTTTGCTGTCGCCCATCTTGGTTGTTCGTGGGCCCGCCAGCTTGCCGAGGGGGGCTCCTCTGCCCCCTGGCTGGCCAGGCGGGGGCCCACTCCTGGCGCCCAGCGGCCATCTCTGAGTGTGGCTCAGGGCGGCCCACCGCTCACCGGGGGCCTGGTTCCATGGCTGCACTGGGGCAAGTAGGGAGGACCCTCCCCCCGACTGTGCAGCCCCAGAGCCCCCCTCCTCCACCCCCACCCAACCACCCAAAGAGCCTAACCCAGGCTCTGGGAACCGTGGGGCTCACCCTCCTTCCCCCTCCCCAGGAAATATTGTCAGCAGCTTCCGCTGTGAGCCCCCGACGTCCATGTCCAGGTCCGTCCTGGAGGCCCTGACCCTCTCCACTGCCATGAAGTGTGCGCCCCCCGACGGCTGCTCCCTCTTCCTGCGCGGCAAGGCCTCTCTCACGCTGCACGGTGACCGTGATGGTGGTGACACCCAGGAAGTGGGGTGGTGGGCTCAGGGCTCCTTTAATCCCCGTGACAAGCCGGGGGTGGGGTGGGCCAGGGAGACTCTGCTAACCGCCCTTCACAAAGGAGGGGAGGAAAGGGCTCTGACAGCCCTGCCGGCCCCTCCCTCCACCCAGAGGGCCTGCGGGGCCTGGAGGCCTGCTCCATGAGCCTGGACACCCAGGAGACACAGTGCCAGAGCATGCGGGTCCCCAGGGCCTCCCGCCGGCTGCAGGTGGGGCAGCAGGTGAGACCAGGGTCTGACCCAGACTTGCAGGTCCAGCCCCAAGCCGGTGCCGGGCAGCTGCATCTGTCCCCTGGCCTGCTCCCGGCTGCCCTCCCCTCTTGGCCACCTGATCCATAGACCGTCCTGGGGCTCTGCCACCCAAGGCCCAAGGAATGGGTGCCCCTCCTCCTCTGCCCCAGACCCTGGGTTCCAGCTGTGCGGCGTGGAACTGGCCTGGCCAGGGGTGGGCGGACAGAGGTCCCAGCTCCACCAGTTCTCACCCGTCCCTGCCCAGCTCCAGGTGCACTTTGACTGCTTTGAGGTGAGCGTGGCCCAGAGCCTCTACGTCACCCTGAGGACTGTCCCCCACTTCTGCGGGGTCCAGCTGGACCAGCGGTACCGTGTGGAAGGTGGGCCGGCGTGGGCACAGCTGCCATCCAGCTTCCCGGGACTGATTCAGGGCGAGACTCACCCAGGGCAGGGGGCAGGGCCCCAAGCTGGACAGCTCCCAGCACGTGCATTTGGCTTAATCCAGCATCTCCGCTTCCCTGAGGAGGAAGGCCTTCTGGAAACCACGCGGGCAGAGGCCCAGGTGGGGGGCGGCCCCTGCTGCAGTGCGGGCTGGGCCCAACACTGCCTCTGTCGTTCACAGACTGCGCAGACGAGGACGTAGGGAGGAACGTGCCCGACTGCTTTGGTGAGGCCCCCTCCCCGGGTGGGACCTGGGCCCCATGGCTCCTGGGAAGACTCTCAGGTGGTGGCAGGCACCCATGGGCCTCCCACCAGGATCTTTTGCCCTCCCCACTCGGGAAATCATGCTGGGTCCTCAGGTGGGCGACTCCCAAAATACCTGGGTCTGGCAGGGGTCACCACCTGGAGGTTGTCAGCACAGGGGAGCCCTGTGCCTGGTGACCTCTGGCCCCTGTGTGACCTCACCTGCTTCCCTTCTACAGCTGGGAAGCTCTCCTACTCGGTGGACCGCAGCCGCAAGGTCGTTCTGGTACAGGTGCCAGAGTCAGGGGGCCCCGACTACTACGTGCGGCTCTGCCTCAAGTGGTTCACCTGCGAGGACGTGGGCGCCCCAGTGCGAGTGAGCCCCCGCCCCGGCCCCACCCCGCCCCCACCTCTGATCCTCGCTTGCCGCCCGCCCATGGTGCCTTCACTCCCCTGCAGGTGACAGCGAACGGGGTCTCCCGGAGGGTCTCTCTGCCCTACAAGCAAGAGTTGTCGTGCCTGTGCCTTGAGGTCAGTAAGGATGTGGCCTTGAAAGCCGGGAGTGGACAAAAGGATGGGCAGACCCTGCGCTGACCCCAGTCCCTCCTGCAGGGCTGGTCTGCGACGCCTGACGCCGTGCGGATCCAGACCTGCCCCTTCGAAGATGGCAAGTGCCCTGTGGTGCCAGGGGGAAGGAGGGGGGAGCGAGGAGGGAAGGGTGGGAGATGGGCGGGTCAGAGGTGCCCAGCAGGGTAGGGGCTGGCCTGTCCAGCTGGGACGGCTGACTCGAGGTGGGGTGAGACGGGGCGGGGGGGGCAGGCCCAGCCTCAGCCCTTGAGCCTGCTTTGGACGGCAGACAGCCAAAAGTGTGTTCCAGGCAAGCCCTCCAAGGTGGCAGAGCCTGCGTGTGGACGTGAGCGTGCAGGAGAGCGCGTGTCGGCTGGTGCACTAGCACGCACGTGTCGCAGCCAGGCCACCTGGAAGAGCCAAGGCTGCCTCAGCCCTTGAGCCTGCTTTGGACGGCAGACAGCCAAAAGTGTGTTCCAGGCAAGCCCTCCAAGGTGGCAGAGCCTGCGTGTGGACGTGAGCGTGCAGGAGAGCGCGTGTCGGCTGGTGCACTAGCACGCACGTGTCGCAGCCAGGCCACCTGGAAGAGCCAAGGCTGCCGGGAGGGGCTCCCGGAGGGGTGCGGGTGCTCACAGAACACACACAGAGACTTGGGTCAGGCCCGGAGCCCCTGAGAGAAGGCACCTGGGTCCTGGGCCAGCCCGATGGTTACTCTAGCAGGTGCTCAGTCCCGTGGCCCACGGGCAGCTGGGGTAGCGCCAGCTGATGCCAGCCCTGGGGGAGGGTCCCTGCAGACACGGAGACACTGTGGGACGCCATCCACTACCACCCGGGGAGCCAGGAGCTGAGTTGGGAGCCTGCCTGTCCCGTGAGTGGCCGTGTGAGTCTGTGCTGGCGCCCAGGGCCAGGGCCCCAGTGCCTGGAGCTGGAGCAGTCCAGCCGGCCTGCACACAGCAGGGTGAGTGCCCCCCAGGCGGGGATGGGGCGGGGATGGGCAGCCAGGGCCCTGACCTGAGCGCCCCTCAGGTGCAGTACCCTTTTGTGGACCCCCAGCCCCAGCTCTGCCTGAAGGTGAGTGGGCCAGTCTGCAGCCCGCCTCATGCACTACCAGGGCATTGGGGCAAGGGGCCTGCAGCCACATGTCCCCCTGTGCCTTGCCCAGCCCTGGGGTCCAGCTACTCAGTGGCCCCTCTGACCCCCTCCTGGTCCCACGGGGGCGGGGTGGGGGGAGTGTAACCAGTCCCAGAGGGCCATGAAGGAGGCCCGCCTGTCCTGGCCCCCCCTGCCCGCCCCCCCGTCCCTGCACACACGGCCACACCCTGTCCCTCGGCCTCCCTGCAGTTCTCCACGAGCCTGGGCTTCCTGGTGAGGTGCCCTTTTGAGCAGCTGCGCTTCCCAGGTGAGCCCTCCGCGGGGCAGGAGGGAGGCCGGCTGGGGCCTTCGCAGGGTGGCCACAGCAAAGAAAGCCCTTTGCTTGTGTAAATGCGTCTTGGCCCAGGGGGCAAGACGACAGGGTGCTGGTCACTTGTGGGGTGGTGTGCTGGGCCTCGCCCCTGCCCCCCACAGCCTGGAAGATGACCGTCCAGCTGGCACCCGCTCCGGGCCACCTCCGGGCAGCCTTCTCGCCCAGCCCTGCCCGCTTCCAGGTGTGCCTGCGTCACCGAGGGAAGACGTGGCCCCCCGCGTGCCACCGGGTGCTCCAGGCCACCCCCACCCCTGCGGTGAGCTGGGTGTGGTGGGCACCGTCTTGGGGACCTGGGGGGGGTGCGTGCTGACCCTTTCAGTTCCCCGCAGTCCCCAAGCCAGCCCTGGTGGGGAAGGTGCTGAGAGGGCTGACTCGAGGGCTCCGCAGGGACGCAGAGGAGCCTGGTCTGCGCCCCCGCTGCCCGTGACCTACCCCTCCCCCGCCCAGGGTGACCCCACAGAGGACCCTGCGGTAGCCTTTGCGGACATTCCTGGGGACCAGGCCTGCGCACCCGGCACCTGCATCCAGGTGGGTGGTGCTGTCCTGCCCACCTCCACTCCCAGACCTCAGGGGAGCCCCCACCTCCCCAGAGCTGCCCTGGGGGCCCCTCCAGCTACGCAGTCCCTCCAACTGGTGCCTCTGGGGAATGCGGACGGGGCTCAGGGAGCGGCTGCAGGCTGTGCTGACCCGCTCTTGCTGCCTCCGACCCCCGCCTGCAGGGCAGAAGGACCGACATCCAGTTCTCCGCCCCCCAGCAGTTGTGCGACCTCCAGTGCGGTGAGCGCTGGGGCCAGGCCTCAGCCAGAGGGGGCAGGGAGGACAGGCCCTCGGGGGGCTGCAAGAGGCAAGGGCTGGACCCCAGACTGGCCCCTGGAGCCCCGTCTCCCATGTCGGAGTGGAAGCGGAGCACACGGCACGGGAGACTGGGGCTCGGCAGGAAGGCGACAGAGGGGCCACCCGCCTTGGAATCAGGCCCGGCCCCGCCCTCACTTGGGCGGTCAAGCCCGCCCCAGGGCCTCCAAGCGCTCGACCCCAATCAGGGCTCTGGTTCCAACTGTGCAGGAACGCGATGTCCCCAGCCCACACTTCGCCCAGCCAGCCACCGATAAGCCTAACCCTGCAGGGCCTGGGTGTGGCCCAGCAGGGTGGCTCCTGCGGGGAGGGGGTGGGTGGGTGGGTGGGTGGGGGTGGGGGTGGGGGGTAGGGGTGGGGTGGGGGTGGGAGGGGTGACACCAGTGCAGGGTGAGTGACAAGCAGGTACAGCCACCTGCAAGCACAGCTCTCCTGGTAGCTGTGGAGAGCGGACCCCCTGGTGGCGGGGGGCGCATTCCGGCGCCCGGGGCTCTCGCAGCCCTGCCCGCAGATGGGGAGCTGGGTAGGCTTTGAATGGCCTCTGAACCCAGCTGAGTCACAGCAATCCCAGGGCAGCCCCAGTCCTGCCCGCAGAGGCTCCTCACACCTGTATCCCCCAACTGCCCCCCACTCCCTGACCCAGCAGAGCTTTTCAGCCGAGTCTGGGTCCCATTCCCCAGCAAAGGTCACCTCCAGCAGATCACAGGTCAAAGGGGCGATGGTCACCCCTAGGGGCCTCGTGTCTGGACTGGGGCTCTAATACCTGCCAGCCAGGTGGCCCGGTGGCTGGCCTGGGGCCACGGCTGGAGCCCCAGTGTTATGCTGGGCGAGTTCCAGAGTCCCAGGAAGCAGTGAGAGTGACTGGGCCTAGCTCAGGTGGTGGGCACCTGGGGGGCATACTGCCCTTGGGGTCTGGGCGGACTCGCCCGGAGACGGGACACTTGCCTGCCGCACGGGCACTGGCTCGGCTGCACTGGGCAGTGCACCCTGAGCGACTGGGGTCTCGGACCCCTCTCCTGCCTTCCACCGCACAGGCAGGGCTGGGCTGGGGGCGGCTGTGCCCCCAGACAAGGGTGGCACTGGGCCACCTGATCCAGCCCCCCGTTCCTGTCTCCCCAGCTGCCACCCAGGGGACAGCAGCCTGAGGCCAGATGTCTCACCAAGGAGAAGCAAGTGCCAGGGCCTGATTGCTGGGATGTGGTGAGTGGCAGCTCACACCTGGGCACGCCAAGCCTCTCACTGTGAAGGCTAGGCCTCAGAGCAGGCGGTGGGGCGGGTCTCACCTGGCCCCAGACCGTGGCACCTATGTGTCTCAGCTCTCCAGAGGCCTGAGGCTCCCAGGGGCCCTTGGGCCATGCCGGGGCTTCCAGTCAAAGGACCTTCAGCCCCTCTGAACCCCCCGAGTGGGGTCCAAGAGAACGGCTGTGTGGGACGCGCCCTTCCCTGGGTGGCCCAGCCCCTGACCTGCCCCATCGCAGCGTGGTCCCGGCTCCCTCTGGACAACCGGGGGCACGGCCTGCACCTCTGGTCCTGAGGACAGTGTTCTCTGAAGTGCAGAGTGTGGCTGCGCCCCTCCTGTAGTTGGGCGGGTCTGGGGGCCGGGACACGCCCACAATGGCTGGGCTCCACATACCGGGTGGCCCCCTGCTGCCCAAGCTGGGCCTTCACTGGCCCCCCAGTGTCCCTCACACAGCTCTCCCTCGACCCTTCAGAGACTCTGCTAAGAGCTCGAGGGAGCCCACGGCCCGAACACCACCCTGCACCAGCCCCCCGCAGAGCTCAGACCACCTTCCACTCCCCAGGCCCCCAGCGAGGCCAGTCCAGTGAGGGCTGGCTGCTTCCATTGGCCTCAGGGGCCACGTGCCAGGACGAGCCATTATCAGACGGTCACACTCCCTGAGGGCCACTGTGTGCCATCTGTGCTCAGGGACCACAGGGGGACCCTTGATGCTGCAGCGTCACTTCCGTGTCCCAGGCCAGGGGTCACCCAGCAGTTGGCCGGCTGGGTCTGCCCTCCCAGGACCCTCCTGCCGGCTCACAAGGACCACCGGGCCACGCCTCCCCAGCTGTGTCTGGAGTCACCTCCACGAGACCACGGTGCATCCAGGCCCTGCCCTGGATGTCAGCTGCACTGCGTCTGCAGATGAGCCCCTACACTCAGGCCCTGGCTGGGCTGTTCCTCCTTCAGCCGGACACAGGCCACCGGGCCTTCTCCTACCCCTCCCTCCCTGGGGCCTGCTGCCCCCAGCCGACTAGGGGGCCAGGCAAAGCCAGCATGGCCCCTCGCTCAGTAAACACTTGTCCACCTGACCCGCCTCTTTCCTTGAGGACAGAGATGGGGTCTGCAGGGCAAGGTGGCCCTTAGCGTGGGGATGGGAGGGCCACGGGCCTGGGTATACCTCCTAAAACGGGATGGAGGTCAGGACTGCAGCTGGGGCGAGGGTGGAGCCTGCCACCCTCTGCCACGTACAGCCCCGCCTGTATCAGAGGACATCCCCAGGCTAGGAATGCCAACAGCCCCACGGCCGCCCCCGTGAGTGGGGGCAGAGTGGCTCCCACGGGTGGGTCAGGGCCACCCCACACCCACTCAGCCTGCAGGCTTGCCCCCTGACGATTGGCAGGGGCTGCACCACCCCTCGAGCCCCAGGCTCCCACTCCCCTACCCCAGCCAGGCCCGGTCCCCTGGCCAAGGGCTGGGGCTTTGGGCTCATGAGAGTACTCCTTGCAGCCCCTTGGAGACCCTTGTCTGCCCCAGGTGTCCCCTCCCCATCAAGGCACCCGGGAAGGTGGGGGACCAAGGTCCCAGCTCTGGCTGGGGCCCCCTCTCCCCGTGCCACAAGTTCCTGCTTCCCATGCCTGGACCATCCAGGGGTCCCCTGGTCCATGCACAGAGACCCTAGCTGGGACCCAGGGCCACCCCAGGAATCCTTGCCGCCTGGAGGTGGGATGGCAGATTTGCTGGGGGGGGGTTGCCGGGAACTGACCAGATGCAGGCTCCCCCAAGACTTCTCAGCAGCCCTGGCCACCCCAGATGGCGGAAACAGAGGCCCACACAGAGGCAGTGGCCATGCTCCTCTCCAGGACTAAGGGTGTGCAGGGCTACAGGGGACGGGGAGGGGAGGGACATGCTCTGGTCCCAGCTGCCCAACTGTCCAGTGTGTGCTGCCACCAAGTGGTGGCGGCACTCAGCACCCGGTTCTGAGCTGGACCTTACATCCCGCCTCCACATCAGGATCTGGAGCCACACACAGAGCCCCATGGCCCAGCAGGCCCACTGCCTTGGCCATGGACCAAGTAAGACTGGCCCCCCCGCCCTCCAAGCGGGAAACCCCATCCTCATCCCTGCCCCGGAGAAACGTGCTGATGCACTCAGGCCCCGGATGAGGGCTGAGTAGGGTCAGCCCCGCCAGGGCTCACAGCTTAACTGGGACGAGCCTTTGGACATCTGTGTACCTCATTCATTCCTTAAGCAGGTGCTGAGCACCCACTGGGTGCCACCCTGTCCCAGCACTAATAACAAACAGCACTGGCCACGGAGCAGGGGAAATGCCTGGGTCTGCCCTGAACTGTGGGGCTTCTCAGGTCAGAATTTTCAGCCCTAAACCCCAGGCAAACAGGGCCATCGGTCACCCTACCTGGAGCTGACCTTTGCCTGGGAAAGACAGACCACAAACAGCTGAATATGTAACTTATAATGGGGTGTCCAGTGCCAGTGCGAGACGAAGGAGGCCAGGAAAGCAAATAGGAAGTGTGGGAGGGGCTGCCATTTAGAGGAGTGTGGTCCCGGCAACGTGAGTCTGGTTCTAACAGGATGGACAGGTGAGGGGCTGTGGCAGGTAGGTGGGGCCATGTGGTGCCCTGGCTTGGATACGGAGGTACGAGTCAAATAGACCAACGTTCCTCAGTGTCTGGAGGGTGGGGCTCCATGGGCTGGGATGGAAATGTAGCAGCAGGAGCTGGCATTCGCACGTGGTAAGTTTGAGCTGCCTCTATTCGCCAGTGCTTCTGTAGGGCCTTCTGGGTATCACTCCCTCAGTGAACAAAACAGACACAGATCCCTGTCCAAGGCAGGGAAGAGAGGCATAAAAAAAAAAAAAGTAAATTATCTAGGACATAAAAGGTTTATTCAGAAAGAAAAATTGGAGCAGGTTAAGGGAAGGAGATGGTCTTGGGGGCACAGTGGCAGGCTGGGTCTCACACCAAGACAGGAAGGAGATGGAGCTGGTGGACAAACAATTAAAACCCAGTGAGTCGGACTTCCCTGGTGGTGCAGTGGTTAAGAATCTGCCTGCCAATGCGGGGGACACGGGTTCAAGCCCTGGCCCGGGAAGATCCCACATGCAGCGGAGCAACTAAGCCCGTGCACCACAACTACTGAGCCTGTGCTCTAGAGCCCGCGAGCCACAACTACTGAGCCCATGAGTCACAACTACTGAAGCCCACATGCCTAGATCCCATGCTCCACAACAAGAGAATCCACCGCAATGAGAAGCCGCGCACCGCAACAAAGACCCAACACAGCCAAAAATAAATAAATAAAATAAATAAATTTATTTAAAAGACCCAAAAACCCAGTGAGTCCTTCCACAAGGGTAGAAAGGGATGAAACAGTTTTATTATTGGATGAGCATTAAGAGACTGCAAAGACAGAAACCTCACCCTTTATATGATCCAGGCAGGTACAACCCATTCCATACGTGATCTCAAGAAAAATAACTGTCCTCGAGCCTATTTTGTGTGATAATAACAGAGCCACCCCAGCTTCTTTGATTCCTGTTTGCATGGAATGTCTTATTCCATCCTTTTACTTTCAACCTCTTTGTGTCTTTGTATGTAAAGTGAGTTTCTTGTACACAGCACGTGTACAGAGATGGATCACCTTTGCCAATCTCTGTCTTTTAATTGGAGAGTTTAACCCATTTAAAGTTTTTAAAATATATATATTTATTTACTTATTTATTTATTTTTGGCTGCGTTGGGTCTTTGTTGCTGCGCGCGGGCTTTCTCTAGTTGCCGCGAGCAGGGGCTACTCTTTGTTGTGGTGCACAGGCTTCTCATTGCGGTGGCTTCTGTGGTTGTGGATCACGGGGTCTAAGTGCATGGGCTTCAGTAGTTGTGGCGCACGGGCTTAGTTGCTCCGCGGCATGTGGGATCTTCCCGGACCAGGGCTCGAACCCGTGTGCCCTGCATTGGCAGGTGGATTCTTAATGACTGCACCACAAGGGAAGCCCTCCATTTACATTTAAAGTGAATACTG